GAGAGGCAGCTAGTGTGGTTACTTCTGCAGGAGCTGCAAGGAGAGTACAACAAGGACTCTGCATTTAAGTCCCAGTCTGAGAATGCAGGATCTTGGGGCTGGGATTTTGGATAATCCTATGGCTCCTCAGGCAATGTCAAAAAGCCGTAAGACTCTGCCCTCAGTTACATTGTACCCTGGGCAGCCTACAGTATAGATGCCAAGTCTGCCTATATATTATTTCCTGCATCAAAGGTGGTATATCCTGTATACCATTTGCTGGATAACACAAGCAGATGGGTGGTACTGTGATCATATCCTGCCTGTAGGCTTAACACAAGCATCTGGTTGGGTGTCATGGGAAAAGAATGTGGACCACACTGGCCTTTATTCAGATTCAATACACATCTTCTCATGTTCTTAAAATTATAAAATGCAATTTAAAGGTACAGCATTTTAAAATAACAAGTTTGGGACATTAAACATTCCACTGTAAAAAAAATCAGACAAACACACAGCACATACAGTAGTTGAAAAATTTAACAGAGAGTGCTTTAAAAGTTCTCAAATAATAACAGCAGCAGCAGAAGCAGTAGCAATAGTAACTTTGCCTGATACCCAAATGACCATAAAACTCCAGGTAAGCCTTCTTGGGGAACACATGTCACCAGGGCTTTTTTTGTCATAGAATGCATCAGAACGGTGTTCCGGCACCTTTTTTTGACTGATTTTTCCAAGTGATTGTGAATCGCCCTGTTGGGCACAGCAGATCAGCGGCAGAAATCATTAACATAGTGCCTGCGGGCTGTTTGTGTGTCAGCGCTGATTGTGAGGGCACTGCTCGGCTTGGGATCGTGTGGTCGCGTGCTGACTCAGCCGGCGGCGACCATTGTGTAAAAGTGTGACCCCAAGACGTGAGTTCCGGCACCTTTTTTTTTTTTTTACAAAAAAAGCACTGCATGTCACTATTGGGTGCCACCACAGAGAAGGCCCTCTTCCTGGCAGCCACCTACTTTTACTTCCTTGGTTGGGAATATCCAGAAGAAGGCCTCTTAAGATTCTGGTGTGCGTGTGTGAGAACGTGATCTTTCCAAGCCATTGCCTTGTATGATTTGGGAGGTTTGGGTGTATTAAATGAATTATGCAAAGGTCTTTAAGAAGATTAGTAGACTGACAGACCACAGAGGGCTGAAAGATGTATCAGATAAGTGGTCCTCACCTTACTTCAGTTCCATTTAATTTTCAATGAGTTTCCCTAGGATGACCCACAGTCTATGAGACTGTGTTTTCCTATTTCTGAATTACACCCAGTACTGTTTGCATTGTGCTGCTTTCAATATTGTCAAATATTTGCTTTAGGCAATTACTGTTTTTTTTTTTTTTTTTTTTTTGCTTACATGTTGAAAGGTGAGAAAGGTTAAAGTATCACTAGGGTGCAAGTGGTGGAACAGAGCTATTCAGGAGTGGGATTTTTCAGCAGTGTCACCCCAATTCAGTGGAATGCTCTCCCCAGAGAGGCTTACCTGGCATCTGCATGCTAGTCTTTTCAGCACCAGGTAAAGATCTTTTTATTTTCCCAGGCTTTTCAGTCCCTCCTTAAAAAAACAAAAATGGTGTTAGTGCTTTTTCCAGGATGTTAGTGCTTTTTAGATCTTTGTACTGCTGCTGCTTTTTACTTTGGTGTATTTTCTTTCCTACCTTGGTCTTACTGTGTTTCTGTTTTAGATTTTGTAAGGTTTTGATGTTGGGGTTTATGGTGTTCTTCTACTTCATGGTTTTAAGATTTGTTTTGTGAACCTTTTCCAAGCTTCAGTTAGTGGGTGGTATGAGAAACATTAACTAATTTGTCAATACTAGAAATTTTTGGTTTTGACTATTGGAAGACTAAGGATTGTTTGTTTATGTAAGCATGAGTCATAAACAAATGTATGATGCTGGAATAGCTGCCAAAATATTTAGGTTAGGGATTTGACAGAACAGCCATATTCTATTCAAATTGCCCTAATTTTAGTTGGATATCTAGTAGCAAGGGAAATGGTTCTGTCTGCTTCAGTGGCTCATGTGAAACTTCAAGTCTGAATTTCTGGGCACAAGAGGGCAGTAAAGGAACAGTATGGAAAGACCATTTTAAAATTAGAAGAAACAAGTTTTTGTTTTTATTTTAATCAGTTTTATATTAGTGTGCCTAATTTACTTGTTTAAAATGACAGTACTTATTATGTAAGCTGCACACACATTCTGAAGTAAATGTGACGTGCAATGCTATGGTAATCCCTGCAAGCACCTGAACCTGAAGTTGTACAGTGCAAAGCAGGTGGCGAATGGAGGTGATCTCTCCCTCCCAATCCTCCTGCCCTGCATTTTCACTAGAATGACTTGTCCAGCAAGAGAATTTCAGAGGGGGTGGAAAAGAGCCTGGACAGGCATCACGACCTCTTCAGTCTCCTCCCTTCCCTGCCCTGTGGAATGACCCCTTTCCAACCTTGAAGAGCAGCCAGCATGCTCTTTCAGCACCAGGTACATGGGGGAAAGGGATCAGTGCTACAGTTTCCCCCCTCGGAGGTCAGAGTTCTGTGTCTGACCTCAGATCTGGAAATCCAAAGAATCCTATGGAACTCAAATACTGTCTAGGGGCCATTGGATTACTCCTTAGGAAGTCTAAAAACACTGAAAATGGGAGGAAATGTTTTCACCTCCAACCAATCACTCAAGCTCCTGCTCAAGAAGGGAATGTTGGCAACAGAAAGGGGGAAGCCTTAACATTTTTCAGATTCAGGTTAGGATTTTAAAGGTATGGCTTAATTACTGCTTTTTTAAAAGGAGTCAGCATCACTCCTGTCCTCAGGGAGGAGATGAAAACTCCCAGATCCAGCTGGACATCCATATTTAAATATAATAAGTCGTGAAGGACAAAGACCAACCAGATTTGTTCCATATAGTCATGCAGGTCCACAAGACATTATTTGCATACTAAAGCCTCAACAACTAGCAGACATCCAATAAAACTAGACTAGCCAGGACTCTAGATACCTCTGCTGATGGAGCTACATTAACTCTAAACTATGGTCTCTAACTATGATGGGAACAGATCTTTATATTCAAAGTGTCAGGCAAAATCCTTACCATATGCTAACAAGGATTCCACCCACAGCTGGCTCCAAGATTTTGAGGGCCTTTGAGCAAGATAGCCTTAGAGGGCTTCCTCTTCCAGTAAGGCCACCTTCTTCCAGCTATTGTCACCAGCTGCTATATCTCTCCATCTTGTTTCTCCTCATTGCTACCTCTTGCTTGTTTGACAGGCAGAGAGATAGTATGCAAGTGGGCAGTGCCATCTGTGCCTCCTGCTCCTCACTGGACCAGAGCATGGGGCCAGTGAACAAGCAGGCTGCAAAAATAGGAAGGAGGAGGACAACTCAAAGATGTCTTGTCAGTGTCCCCTTGACAGGTGGTACCTAGCCGTGCTGGCCCTGGGTGGCATAGGTAACAGGTGGTGGGGGCAGCTCTTTTAGCAGCAAAAGGTCAGGAGCAGTGCTAGCTACACCAACCCAACTCTGTGGCATTGAAATGGCAGCAGACAGTACACTCAGGACAGGAGAATAGTAGCAGGCATGGGCTCCAATCCAGCACTCTTTCAAATATTCAGCCTAGTAGAAAGGCTTGCTTTGCTCAAAATGCTTAGCAGGTATTGTGGCAAAATGAGCCCATTCCTTCATCTGCATACACTTATCCCAGAATTGATTCACTAATTATTGCATCTGTATCTTGACTCTTCTTTGCAGCTTACATACCTCTCTTCTCCAGGTTATCCTCACAACAACCCTGTGAGGTTAGGCTGAACTGGCTGAGAATCACTCAGCTTCAGGAAAAATGAAAGGTAGAACCATTTGTTTAGATGGCCACATGCCCTGATTCATAGAACCCTGGCTGCAGCAGATAGCCACATTTGCATTGGAACAGAGGAAAAAGTACCTGTAACACAATCCTATGCATGTTTAGCCAGATAAAAGACTTATACTTCCCAGCATGCTCCAGTCAGCTCTGCCAACCAGGGAATGTTGGGAGCTGCAGGCTTTTTCTCTCTACACTTACATAGGTTTGTGCCTTAACTCTGAAGTCCACCATGTAGATGCACTGGCCAGTGGGATGAAGACCTTTTTGGAACACTAGGAGTGAGTTCTCTCTTCATGCACTCAATGCTGAACTTTTTTACATTCAATAACAGAACATCTGTAGACCAAAGTAAAGAATTTCCACTGTCTTCTAGACTGAGACAAACATTCTCTGCCATCTTTATCTCATTCATCTCAAAGCAGCCCTGTACCATTTGCCATGATAATTGTTCCCATTTTACAGATGAACTGTGATGGTTATCCAGGGACTTACTGAAGGCATGGCTGAATACGAACTTGAATCCTGAAGCCAAGATGTTTTTGCTGCTTGAGGCCATGCATTCTCCCTGCCAAGCGTAAAGCTTGACAGGAAGTGCTATTAAATCTTCAACAGTGGCTTCAGGATACCTTCCTCTTTCATACAGGAGGGCAGCAGGTCAGTTTTGACAGTTTAGGTGGGCCATGATCTCACTCACCATTCCAGCTTCCAAGACATGGGGATGGCCAAGGTGGGCTCAGGAGGAAATGGCTGGGGTGCTGCAGCCACCACCGTGCTTGTGTTGAGACGGTTGCACCAATTTGCTGCTCTTTTCTTTGTCCAAAATGGGAGCAAAGCAAAACAGGCTTTAATGAGTGTATAATTTCTTAAGTATAAGAGTCTTTGGGAAAAGACTCCAGTCTCCTTTTTGAGACGGTGAAAGAAACGACTCATTTCCTGCTTGTTTCCAGTTCAGAGAAAGAGGGAGCGGGATCATTTTGCAATTAGAAAAATCCCCGAACATAACGCTCAGGGCTTCGGGAAAGCCGGTGGGAATCGCAGAGAGGGACAGAGGGACCAAGGAGGCAGGGAAATAGGTCGCAGAGGTCGTCAACCACGCTCTCCTCCTCCTCCCCCGTGGAATGCATAAGAGCCCTTCCTGGCAGGGGAGGAACATCCTCGCGCAGAGCTCCGACCCTCCGGCGACAGGCGGGTGCAAGCCATGACTCCCTGCTGACCGCCGTTTCCTCCCGCCAGCGCCGTCGGCGCGCAATACACGTTTTACATTCCGCCGTGCTCACAACTCGCTCCCTCCTCGGCGGGGACCTTCAAAAACGGGCTATTCCGCTGCAAACTTTGCTTACGCTCTCAGCAGCATGGGGAAACTTGCCTCCCTCCCTCTCCTGATGCTTAGCCTGATGCTGTTCGCCGCCAGAACATCGGGTAAGTTATGCGTAAAAGTGGATGTGCCTAATGGCTGAAAAGGGAGCGTCGGCGCTTTTGAAGAACAGTGTGGATTGCGTTGACCGGTTGATTTAGTTAGGGGTTGGTTGGTTGGTTTTTTTCGCCTCGGCGAAGAGAACCTATTGGAGATGTATTTTGTAACCCTGTACAGGACTACTCAAAAATAAAGTCCACTGCTTTCAAAGATATCTACTCCTAGGTAAGTGCGTATAGGTTTGCGCCCTTGGTGTCGTTACCCAGGGATTGTTTTTATCACTTGGGAAGGAGCTGTGGTTGTAAATATCATATCCCTACAGAATGGGTGTGCTTCCTAGAACTCCGGCTATCTTGATTACAATGAGTAGCCTGCATGCCCTCTGTGAAGCTGCCAAGGTAACTAATTCATTCAATCCTTGTAGCTGTTTGTCCGCTCAGGTAGCCCGCACACGCATCCAGGAGCGTGTCCACCTGAGCGCCCATCCTGTCAAGGGAGGACAGTCTTCGCTCTGTTGCTGGGAGCTTAAAAGAGCTCGGCGCCCCGCAGGCACACCAGCCTACAGGCAGTGGCCAACGGGTGATGTTGCCGGAGGGAGCACGCACCTTCTGGGGAACTGCTACTATAAATGGGCATAGGGCTTTGGAGAGGAGGGTGGCGTGTGTTTTCTGGAATCAGATACAACATGGTGAGGAGGGTGGACGTAAGCAACAGGGAGTGGTATAGCACTGAAGTGGGGATGGTGATAAAGAACACAAAAAGAAATCATTAGAATTATCTATTCTTAATGTTAAAATAAGCTGCTTGGAGCACCAGATGGTTAAAAAGCAGGGCAGAAAGCCTGTAAGAGACAACACATTAGCCAAACTTGGATCTTGAAGGAATCTTGTAACCACATTAGACTTAGCAACAGTTTAGAAACATAGTTTGTATAGATCAGGGGTCTCAGACTCACAGCCCCCGGGCCAATTGCCGGGACGGGCGGTGCACGGGGAAGGGGCCCTGTGGCCTTCAAAGCGCCGGCGGCACCCGGACTGGCCGCGGGATGAGCGGCCCACCACCACCGCGGTGGTGGAATACTTGATGCGGCCCAGCCTCACCCAGCCTCTACTTCTAGCTGCCTCCAGGTAAGTTGAGTTTGAGACCCCTGGTATAGATGGTTCCACTGCCGAATTTGGCTTCCCCTCTTCTGAAGTGTGAGTGTACAGACTTGTTTCTCTTCCACTAAATACTCAGGGACAAAAGAACTCTGCTGATCAGACCAGAGCTCTACCTCGTCCAGCAGCCTGTTTGCCACCAGGGCCAAACCAGGTGCTTCCTCATGAGGCTTTTATGAAACCATTCACAGACCCGCACAGCATCATCCTCCATGCAAAACTCTCTTGTGTTTTTCCGCCACTTTTTTCTTTCATCTTACCTCAGAAAGGTAAGATAAAAGACAGAAAAAGAGGAAAAGATGGAATACTTAGGAATACAAGACTTATACTAAGTCAGACCTTTGGTCTGTCTAGTCCAATATTGTGAACACTGACTGGCAGCAGCCCTACACAATGACAGGCAGGCTATTTTCCTGCTCTGCATGGAGATGCTGAGCATGTGTCCTGCCACTGGGTCAAGCCCTACACAAAGCCTTTTGGTTGCCAGCAGTAGGAACCCTCTATATGGATCCCCACAGATGCTTCTGGAAACCCCGTAACAGGACATGAGGACAGTAACCTTTTCTCCTCTTTGTTTGCTAGTAACAGGTCTTCAGTGTCTTGCTCTGATTCTGATTCTGCAGGTAGCAATGTAGCCACCATGACCAAAAGCAGGCATTGAGAGCCTTATCATCACACATACATAATATGTGTGTGATGATAATTTCTGGAGCTGCATTGATTTTATGGCTGTTTTGTAATAACTTTCAGTAAACCTGTGGATATATGTGGGAACTGTACAAGCGAGTTTCAGTGCAAGTCTGGACAGCTCATAGCCTGGGTGCCTTCTCTGCAGTGGCACCCAGACTATGGAACATGCTGCCCAGAGAGGTCTGCCTGGCACCAACCCTCTACTCTTTTTGGCGCCAGGCTGCCCACACTATAAATGTTTGGTTTTTTTCTGCTCCACCATAGTCTGGGGTATGCATGTGTAAAACTGGTATTTGATAAGATAAATTTTAATAAAGCTTTAAAAGGAAGCCTGGAAAATCCACTCATCTAGGAAAAAAATTGTTTGATCTGAACAAAAAGCATTTTGAAGTGTTTTCTACTCAGAAAAGAAAACTGATTAACATAGCCAAATTCAGAAGGAGGAGAAAAATTAAGCATTATAAGCTTTCAAAATGGTGGATGTGTGCTAATTCTTGGCAATCATTTTAATTAGGCCAGGATACTTAATAATGTTTTGTGAAAAAAAAAAAAAAACATTGGGCTGCCCGACATGATGCTAAGACATATCAAAGGCAAGAGTCATGTGGTATATGATTTGGGAGTGATCCAAAGCTTATTTCACTCCAAAATAAGTCTTGGGAAAATGTGGAAAGATCATGAGCAGAAGACTTTCATGGCAAAGGATGATACAGGCCCAGCATGCTTTCCCTTAGGAACATGACCACCACCAATTTGTATACATTTTGCATGGCTATCACAGGAGAGGTAGCTCCAAGTTTAGAGTGGTCTTGGAAGGTGTTCTCTATGTTGTCACTTTTTAGCCTGTGAAAGGATTAAGCCACATATGTACGCACCCACCTAAATTAACATTTTTAATGTTTTCTGTTTCCCCTTCTTTTGCAATTTGTTAGACCATTAAATTTGAACACTTATGTAGGAGCAAGAGCATTGAACTCACACCTCCAGTGGATGTTTTTCTGATCAAATAGCCCTCCCCTTCCCATCTGTGGTTTAAAAAAATACTGGGTCCATATCCCTTTCGCCTTGTAGAAAGGAAACAAACTTGAAGTGGGCAATTTTTAGGAGGGCTCCCACAAAGCCCAGCACTGCTGATGTCTGCCTGAGAACAGTGTCAGGTGGGCCCCTTAATCCTTTTTATTCAGCACGTGATGGTAGAGCAAGCAGCAACTCTGGCAGCACTGGGGGTGTGTCAGGCAGCTGCTGTAAGAGTATGAGCTGTCTTTTTAATCACTCTTTAACACCTCTGATGACATGTCATTAGGGGGCAATTAAAATGGCAGCCCACTTGCTCATTGTAGGCTTCTAACATGTCTCTCTGCACCATTCTGCCCACCCCAGACATGTGTCAGCACATTTGCTGCTCAGTCTGTGTTTGCCTTCTTGCAGGGTAAGGCAAGGCCCAGTGGGGAGTCCCGCATTGGCACTGGGGCCTCATCTAGGAACTTTGCTAAAGATACCTGGAGTTCAGACATAGGAAGCTGGCAATTTATTGGCAGTTTAGACTTTTCAGTGTAAGTGTAGTGGGAGCTGTAACAAAATGTTGCTTTGTATCTTCACCTCCTAGCAGGAGTACTTCTGCTGAGGATTCCAGGCAGCCTCCAGCCACAGCCCCCTCTTATAGATTATAACTATAAACTGTACAAAGCTCAATCAGTGCAATTATTCCCCCACTTCCTAAGTATTTTTGTCCCAATAATATGCAACATTTCATGGCTCCTTGAGGCCATGGAACTTGCTCAGATTTCATTGGGCTTCTTTCTGGGAGAGCTTCAGCCTTTTGCATTGGGAGAAAAGCTTTTGTACCCTACATGTTTGAGTGATAACCGAGCATGCTAGTATCTCCCACTTTTTTTCCTCACAGGCCCTATTTTGACTCCAGTGCTGTTGGAATTCAGTAAGAGTTTGCTGTGAAAGGGAGTGGCTACCTTTTTCAGCTGCTACTCATGGCCAGATTAGTGGTAGGCAAACAATGTTTTTCAAAATGGCATTTCATTTTTTTTAACTTCTTGTAATCCATCTAGGGAATTGTTGTGAGGATTAGAAATGTGCCAATTAAAGAAGTAATACATTTATTTTCATGTATCTGACCCATTCACATATAAAGCAGGGGGTGAAGTATATTAAGAATGGGAAAGGAGAGAAAAGTAGCTGAATCTAGGCCAGGGCCTTTGCTAGAGGGATCCAGGAGGGCCATTTGGACTAGGCCTCACTTTCACAGAAAGCCTAAAGTGTCAGTGTAATGAAGCAGTTTGAAAATTAACTAGTGTTTATTTGTGGAACAAGATTGTTAGAATGATCTTGCTGGGCTAAGCATAAATGTGTCATTGCAAGAAAACTACCCTCACTCCCCACAATAATTAGTGAATTTGCCCAGGTGAAAGAAAGCTAGAAATGCATCTTTTAAATAAAAAATGAATATTTATTACCACACATGTACTGTTTTTATTTTATTTTTTATTTTTATTTTTGATGCTGTTAATCTTGCTTGAGAGCTGAAAATGAGCGAGCCCATCAGAGGCAAAATGACATAGGGCCAGAGCTTGTAACAAAATGGAGGTGGAGGTGGAGTGTGGCATAATCAGTTGGAAATTATTGATATCATTTTATATTAGTACTTAATTCCTCTTTGAAAATTGCTAAATTCTTTGCTACACTCTTGTTTGTTTTACTAGGAGAGAGTTACACAGTTCAGTTTTCCCCAGGTTAAATGCATACATTGGCATCAGAGGTACTCAGCCTCATTATTTCAGGACAAATTTGCTAATCCTGATGTTCTTAGCGCTAGTGTGATCATGGACACATTCCTTGGCATGATCAGTTACCGGCTTCTCCTGGTTCTAATTTATTTCTTAAGATTATTTTAAATGCTGAATTGGGATTTTTTTTTACATTCTGCAAAGCAAAGTGCTACCTTTATGTAGGTTCAACATCTATATTAAGGTTCAAAAGAGTAATTTTATTATTCTGGGATGCACCATTTCTGCTTAACTGTTTCTGGTAGCTTTCTTTCTCACCACTTTGCCTTCTGGGAACTGCGTGTTTTTTGACTGGACCATGCCCACCATGACAACCATTTTATAGATGAGCAAGCCCCTCATGGGAACCATTTTCTGAGA